TATATACTCTATATATTTTTTCCTCTACATAACCTATTATTATCTACTATCTCTTTTATTAATATTATTTATTTATTTTATAATTTATAATGCCTACACTTAAATATACATATTACTTTACTACATATAATTTATCATCAATTTTTCTATACATGTAAATAAATAATAAGTGTTCATATGTTCTAAACAACTTACATATATATACTATACTTTATAATAAACATACTTAAGATCACAAACCTTTATATAATATTTTAATATTTTAACATCTAGTATCATTTATTTTATTTTATATTTTATTTAGTACCATTATTATTTATTTCATCTGTTTACTTTAGAAAAATCCATTTTATCTATTTTCATCCAAATTACATATTACCACATATTTTCACTCGACTACTACCTTATTTTATTTTATTTTCTTTTTACGTTTTTTTTCTTAATTATATATATAAATAAAACGACAAATTTTCATATCCTTTAAACTCAACATTTTTTTATACATTTATATAAGACACATCTATATTTTTCAACATATAAAAAAATTGTCATATATTTTTAGTACATTTATTTATTTATTTTTTACCGTATGATAAGCATACTACTATTAATTTTATAGACATATATACGTCGTACCTTGTATTTTACTCTTTTTTTAAAATGATAAAATTTACTTACCATTGATTTTTAAAGAAAATAAATAAATAAACAAGTTTTCCTAATCATATTTTCCTAAATTGAGTTTAAGGACTATCTTCGGATAGGCTCTGAGGGATGCTTAACACCTTTCCCTCGAGTATAACTAAAACCCTTACTCAGAATCTCACTGGTTTCGCAAATCTAAAACAGAGTTTACATTTACATAGAAAAAAATGGTTTCCCTAATATTTTCCTTAAAAATTTAGGTCGCCACTCTAAAACAAAACAAAAACAATTTTCTTTCAAAATTAGAGTGTCGGCCATATTATGTTGTGAATTGTTTCGACTGGTTCGAAATAGGGTACGACACACGTGCATCCTCATATAAACATGTATGTCCGCCTTTGGAGATATGCATGATTATATAAACATGTCTCTTTAACTTGGCTTCAGCTGTCATCTACGCCCTCCAACTTTGACTGTACACAAGTAGATATTTAAACTTTTATAAAGTTGAACTAGTAGACGCATGCATTCTATATGACAATTCACGTGAAATTCACTCGAACTGATTGTATTATGCCATGTAGAAATATATTATGTCCGTGTAAGACACATATGTCTATTTGTTCAATTTTATATAAATTTAAATGCCTATCTATGCTCACCCATAAGTTGAAGGGCGCAAATGCCTAGTAATGCTAAGTTAAATAGCACATTAATATATTATGCTTAAGAGATAAAAGAAAACTTAAAAATGTAAGCACATAATACATTCATACACACGTACATAATGTACCAATATTAAAATAACAATAATAGAAATATAACATTTTAATTTGCAATAACTCATAAAACTAATGAACTTGAATAAAATCTATAAATATAAAGGTTAAAAAATAAAATAGATTTTGTATAGGATAGGGAGTTTAATATTTAAACCAAAATTCGGGGTAAATGATTTCCAAATTCCAATGTTAGAAAATTTGTGTAGATGGAAAGGAGATAATGGTAGAGAAGCCAATACACTGAATAAAGCGAAGCATGCGCATGGCGCGCATTGGGTTTCATATTGTGAAGTTGAATGATTAAAAATCAAAACCAACCCCCCAAATGATGACCGAAAGATATAGATGGAGATGTGGGTGACAACCATGAAATATCGCACATTGGTCCCCAATTGCTCACCAAAATTTGCCTCCTTCATTTTCGTTAACATTCCTCAAAACACTAATCTCACTTTCTATTTTCAATCTTTCCTTCTCTCTCTTCCTATTTTTTTGAATTCAACATCATCATACAAGGGGTCTAATTTTTTTTTTATTTTTTTGGGAAAATCATGTATTTGATTGATTTGTAGTTCGAATGTTGGTCAAGAAATTAACAGTGGGTATAGTTTTTCAGTGGTTAGATAAAGTGATATTGGTTTGGCTAAGATGCAGGGTGGAATGATGTTTGCCAGGCTTGATGATTCGCCCATGTTTCGTCAGCAGGTTAAAAAAAGATTCAATTTTTAAAGTTTAGCGTATTGTGTGTACCAAACTGCTACTTATACAGCCAGTTGCTGTCTTTGGTAGTGATGATTTAGTGTGCTTAATGAATTCTTGATCCAGTAATCAATGATTGATTGAACGCCTTTTATAGGTTTACAATATGATGTAGATGAAGGGTGAGTACTCGCATAATACATAAATGTGCCTCAACTCATATTTATGTACACTGAAACTTGTATAAAATTGAACAAATAGATACGCACGTCCTACATGATAATTTGAGTCCTACGTGGATTTCTACGTGTATTATGCCACTTAATATTCATGTGTTTACTTGTTCAACTTTATCTACTTGTACACACTCAAAGTTGGATGACATAAATATAAAATAAGACCAAGTTAAAGGGCACAATTATGTATTATGCCTTACTTTATTAGGGGAAACTTTTGACATTTTGAGGTTTATGCTTGTCAATATCAATACAAATAGTTTGGTTCTTAAATTATGTAGACACTTCTCTGGTTCCTTTTTAGTTTAAACTGTTTACGAGTTAAGGGATAGTATGTTGAGAAAGTTATGTAATTATGATTGGGCAATGTAATGGACGTTTTTTTCTCTCTCTCTGTACATATAAATGAGCATCACTGGATGCTAATCAAACAAATTGATTTACCTTTTCCAAAAACTGATGCAGTGGATACTATTGAGAGCCTTGTCTTTGTTGGAGTGCATTTTCTGACACTGTTTTTTCTGATGTGATATAAGAAGTTATATATCACAATTAAAGTGTTTTTGAAGAGGGAACCAAGGTTCAAGAATTTGTAGTGTATAGAACAAGTAGTTTGCGAGGATGATCTTCGCATTAGTGGATATTCTTCTTTATAACTGAGAAATCTTGACGGATTGGCACACTTGGTTTCCTTGTTACCAGCATGAAAACATATCGTCCGAGGTTCAAATGCAATGTATTATGCTTATATAGTCTATGATTAGATGCCAACTAGGGTGAACTTAGTCCAGTGTGAAAGATCTTCTAGATGAATTCTAGACTAATAATTAACATATAACTAATAACAGCTATTTCTCATGAATCGTTGTAAGTATATATATTAACATTCTCTGCAGTAGAAACTTACACATACATGGGATAGATTGGATTGGTATTCTATGTGAAAAATAGCATGTGAGCACCTTTACGTAAAATAAGTCCTGCATACTATAAAAGTAATAGTAGCAGTTTGATGCGTCTTCTGCAACAGAAGTTTGGAAGCCTTTTCCATGGCTAAGAAATATGCTAATCTTTACTTACTTTTCTCTGACCACAAGTGTGGGTCCTTAGTTTTGTACATGGTTGAACAGATCCAAGCTTTTGAGGAAGATGCTGAAACATTGAGGGATAAATGTCTAAAGTTTTATAAAGGATGCCGAAAGTACACGTAAGTCTCTTCATCTTGCTCTATTGTCTTCATAATTTATGTTGCATGGAACACTTCATTATTAAGTCATTCCATGTAAAGAGGGATCAGCAGAGAAAGAGGACAACAATTGGAAAAGAGGAGGACATGTATATGAAAACAAGAAACTAGATTTCAAAGCTCTAGCAAATAAAAATATTATAACTTTTTCGCACAAAAAAATATTATTACTTTTTCGCACATATTTTATGGCTTTTTGTTGACAACACATTCTCAATCTTTAGATTTTAAGATCACATACACCTTGAGGGACTACATTAAAAAAAATAAAAAATGGAAGGATTTTCCATATCCGGACATGACCTGAATGGAGGTTCTTCTGAGTGGATGATTTTGTTGTGATTAGGTATTGATGAGGAGAATAAATAGGTCAATTATATAGTAAAATAAAATGGATAATCATGGCACCCAAGGGTGTGGCCTAGTGATCAATGAAGTGGTTGAGAGTCGTGAGGTCTCAGGCTCGAATTTCAGCAAACACAAATTACTAGGTGATTCTTCCCATCTGTCCTACCCTTGGTGGATAGAGTTACCTTGTACTTGTTGCTTGTGGGAGGTGGTAGATATCTCGTGAAATTAATTGAGGTGCGCAAAAACTGATCCTGACACCACGACCATAATTTTTTTTAAAAAAAATGGATAGTCGTGAAGTGCAACAGAGAAGGTCTGATCCCAAGCCACACTTCATCATCTCCTACGATTCCCATTATGTTTGATGTTTATCAATCTGTATGTTAGCCATCTTCTTTTAACAGTTTTGAATATTCACCATAATAAATTTAGTTAATGTTAAGTCTCATGCAGTTACACTATCTAGTAATATCAATGTTGCATTCTATAAATAATTTTTGATAACATGAGGTGAATAGCTATTGCATAACTGTCATATGTTTTTTTCTATTTATCCTGCAAAGCATATTATGGTCGTATCCTGCCTGTATTCTTTTGACACTGCTTTTCCTCTATCTTCTATATCCTTTTCTCACTTATGCTATGCTGTTCCTCGTTGTCACGGTTTTCCTTGTTTTTTTTGGCAAGTGATCTTTTACTTCCTTTTCTAAGTGTCTATCTCTCTACATTTGGCTCTTTTAACTATTTATGCTTATGGATGAATATTGCAGTGTGTTCCACTTAACGAGCAGAAAAGATAAGTTGTGCCATTATTTGCTATGCTTAGTGTAAATAGTTATACAATCTTCTTTCAAGGATGTATGGTTTTATTCCACAAATAATTATTTAACTCTTGGACAAGTATTGTGCTGTTTGTGATACTCATTCATTCCTTTTTTCAATTTATAGAGAAGGGCTTGGGGAAGCATATGATAAAAACATAGCTTTTGCCAGTTCTCTTGAAACCTTTGGAGGAGGGCACAATGATCCTGTTGCTGTTTCATTTGGAGGTTCTGTTTTCGCTTGATCTTTTCAGACAACTTGTTATATAATTGATATGTTCTTTTGAATACATTCATGGGAGGTCATCATTAAGCATGAACAAATAAACACAATCATCATGAGAAAGTTTAATCTTATACTTACAGAGCTTGAAGTTGTGGAGACATCATTACAAGCATCATCTAGAGTACACTTATGACCAACAGAAACAACATTTTTCATCAAACGTATTTTGTTAGGACTACTTATCCACAAAAAGTGTATATGGATTTTCAAATTCTAAGTCATGAATCTATCTTAATCAAGTTCTGGTGTCTCTGTTATTGGCTAAAAATAAAAAGGTGAATGGAACAGATTTACATCTTCTGCTACCCTTATCAAGCTCAATTAACTTTTCTTACAAACACAATATTCATTTCCCTCAGAAAGCTGTACTTCTACCTAACAAAGAATTTAGTGTCAGATTCCTCAGCCATTGTATATTGATACACATAATTTGCCTTCTTAGGCCCTGATATGGTACAATTTGCTATCGCTCTGAGAGAAATTGGAACATACAAAGAAGTTCTTCGATCACAGGTAGCAGTTATTATGCTATTTACTGAAATGTTAGTGGTAGTTTAGAGTCTTCTTTCCTGCAAGGTCATGTTCAATTCCCAAATTTCTATGCATGAATTTTTGGTTAATATGCTGCATTACTTGAAGTATTTTGACTTTCGTATGTCAATCTGACTTTAGAAGTGTATTTATCTATTCTAGAACTTTGAAGTATAGCTTACATTTTCTTGTGACACGGTCTAAGTTACTATTGTGTGACTTCTGAAATATCATTGTCTGCTTGCGATCTTCTACTGACATCGTCAATTTTTTTCTTAGGTAGAGCAAATATTAAATGATCGATTACTACATATGGCTAGCATTGATCATCAAGTAAAGGTACCACTCATAACTATTGCTTCAAATCTTTTATCTACGGCTAGTAGGGCATTGATAAGAAAATTGAGTCCATTGAAATTTTCTTTACTCTCACTAGAGATCTTTTGTTGGGGCCTACTTGTTTTGAATCATTTTACCTGATATAATCAGAAAACACATACAATTTTAGAAAAGGATTTTAATGAAAACTTGTTATCTAGAATAGAGTGTAAAAAGTTCCATTATAATAAAAGTAAAGAAGTCGACCTTTATTTTCTTAAATTTGAAGGACATTTTTTCATTCTCGATAACTAGCTGTCTCTAGAAGATTTTAGCTTAATGGGTCTCTTAAGGAGTTTCATTAGGCTACTTTTGAGTTTTTGTTTTCCTGATTTGTTTTAAATGAATAACAAGCAACTAGTCTCAACAGACAAATCATTTCCATTTTCCAGAGGCATTGCATTTTCTTGGTTAATAGGTTTTCTTATTTATTTACTGGTGCACTTTGGCATAAAAGTGAATTTAATTAAAAAATACACAGTTTTTAAAATTTTTTTTTGATGAAAACCTGAATCATCTAGAATAGAGCATGTAAAATGTCCCGTTATATAAAAAGAAGTAAAATATCAACCTTTATTTTTTTAAAATTTGATGCGCATTATTCCTTCTCAATAACTAGATGTCACTCTAGAATATATTTTCTTCTTGGGTCCCTTAAGGAGTTTCATCAGGCTACTTCTCAATATATGATTAGGTTTATTTTTTGAATGAATACTAATTTTAACAGACAAATTATTTTCATTTTTCAGAGCTATTGCATACTTTTTCTTGGTTAATAGATCTCTTTATTTACTGAACGACATAATGGCTTAAAAGTGATTTAGAACAGTGCATTTAGAATGGAAGTTCATTATCAGTGGGTTGAATTGAATCCATTTGACCCACCTATAACATTTAATGAGTCAGTTTCTTACTCAATCTATATTTTACAATTCCAATCTAATCATAAATTTTCCCCATATCATCCGTAAATCCCCAGTATTTTTATACATCTTCTTTTGCATTTCTCCCGCGCTTACCTTGCACAATACATATATACATGCATCTTTAGCTTGATGTTGCATGGATTTCCAAAACTTTCAGGAAGCTCGGAAGCGTTTTGACAAAGCTGATGTAGCTTATGATCAGGTGAATATAACATTCCTTAAGTCACATTGTATATTTGTCTTGTCTCGACTTGCGTGTTTTTGTGATAATAACCCATTCAATTTGGCAAATGCAAAATCTTATAACAGAGTGATTTCCAATTGAAACTAAATGTAATTGTTGCCTAATTTGATACATGATCTTTTCCTTTGAAATGACGGACTTAACTAGCACCCAAAAATACCATTGTTAAAAGGATAGTGGGTGTAAAGTAATAGAGTTGGTTTTGTTGTTTGTTAGAAAAGATTTCCTTTTTAACGTTGACATTTTGTCCTCATTATCAGACATTTAGAGAATTTGATCTAGTAAATTATCCTTTCATAATGGAGGTTTTCAAGAAAATGGATCTTTGGATATTTGCTTTCTGCAATGATGTTCAAGATCCTAATATCCTTGGTTACAGGATACAGCACAAGAGGATCGCTTTTCCACTTCTTGCTTCCATGTCTAAACATTTTGAAATATCTTAATATTTGTTTACAACCTACTGAAAAATGAAAATCATCCTGTACTGTGTAAGAATTCCCTTTGTTCAGGTCCGCGAGAAGTTTCTATCGTTGAAGAAAAATACTAAACTGGATATAGTTGTAGCCATTGAAGAGGTACACACATATTCGTTCTTATAATTGAAGATCAGTTTCCCTATTTGTGTTGTTGATTGATCAGGTAGTTATATTGTTAAAAGTTTGTCAAATTTTTAATTTGGTGGAGATCTGCTATAGGAACTTCATTGTGCAAGGTCGACTTTTGAGCATACCCGCTTTAATCTGGTAAACTAAGATAATTTGCAATCATTCAATTCCCTCCCTCTCCCCACAAACCAAACACACACATATACAAATATCTATATATGTTTTTAGGGACTCAGTAATTAAATAGTGATTCAATGACAAATAGCAATGATATAATATTTGCAATACATCAAACATAAGATCAGGTTGGAGCTCTTTCTTCCGTTGAGGCCAAGAAGAAGTATGAATTCTTGGAATCAGTTAGCTTGACAATGGATGCTCATCTTCAGTATTTCAAACAGGTCATGTTCTGTTTTCTTTCGAGTGTCAAACAGGTCTTGTTCATATTATGGAGTGCATCATGTCTGAATCTGAGATACTATGTCGTTTACAGGGGTATGAACTGTTGCATCAGATGGAGCCTTATATCAATCAGGTTATTATCTAGTTTTAATACTAGTTGTGATATAATGTTTGTGTACTCTCCTTTTTCAATGAGGGCATTCCACCTTTTTAGATTGAAGAACATAATGTGTACTCTCCTTTTTCAATGACAGTAACTGGTGCACCTTCATTAAACTAAATTGTTGTGTTCAGTTTCATGAAATCATGAGTGACATCTCTTATAGATATCCTCCTTCAAACTTTTTAAATTATATGTTCTTCAATCTATTTGAGACACTCATTGTGAGTTTTTAATTCCATAAAATAAACAGGTATAATAACCATGGAATACATTGCACACATGCATATTGATTTCATATTAGACCACAAGAAAAACAAACTAATTTACAAATGACCAGGCTATTTTTAAAAAATGCCAACTATGCTAACATGTGCTTCTGTTCGTGAGCCTGAGGTTTGTTTAGTATCCCACAAGAAAGGCCTAGGTCAGTTTGTAGAAGGAAAAAATTAGGCCCAGATTTACTGGCCTAATCTAATAGTTTAGTTTCTGTAACACGACTGATCCTTTTGAAGCTTAATTAGAGGCAAATAACACCATCCCTGTCCAAACCATTGCGCCAGTTAACTATGAAGTAGGAAAAGAAGTTGAGCAGAGCAAAAGATAAATGAAGAAGAAGAGTGGGATGCAAAAGAAGAGTCAAAGGTGGTAGAAAAGAACCTAGAAATCTCCCTATCTTTGGAAAATACTCACATGCAAGAACTCACCTTACAGAGAAGTGAAAAAGGTAACTCGAGTTTGACAACAATTGAAGATACTGTGCCACTAGGTCAACATAGCCAGAGGAAGGAACAAACCTAGATTCTGACATTCCATTCTGGATCCACCAGAATATCATTAAATTTGGCAAGGAGTTTGGTGTAGACATCAAGGGGTGCAAGGAGGAAGCAATGTCGTTATTCATGAAGATTGAATGTATGAGAAAAACTAATTTGAAAAAGGAAGAGGCAAAAATGAAAACAACTCCACCAGTCAAGGGATCCAAAGAACTGAAGAGTCTGGAGTGTGGAAGAATTTTCAAAAGTAATGGCACAAGGAGCAAAGGGGATACACTCTATCAAGTGATCAATGATTGTTAATATTGTGTCATGGAATGTGAGGAGCCTAAAACAAGCTAGTAAGAGGTGTTTAATAAAGATCTAATTCACTTTTGAAAAGTTGATATATATTACTTTCAAAAAAACGAAATTGAAGGAGACATCAAGACATTGTTAAAGACTTGTGGGCCAACAGATGGGGTAAAATCTGCCAACTTAAAGCCAGTGGAACTAGAGGTGGCATCCTAAAATTATGGGATGGGAAAGTATGGACATGAGAAGAAGTAGCGTGGGAGCCATTCTTTATCTTGCAAGTTCACCGGAAAGAACCAAGAACTCACTTGGTTCGTTACAAGCATTTATGCACCAAATGATAGTGGGGAAAGAAAAGAAGTATGGTGGGAAGTTGGGTCAGGTAGAGGACTCTTCACTGGTCCCTGGGTAGTCTGTGGAGATTTCAATACTATTTGATGTCCCTCTGAGAAGAAGAAGTGCACTATAATCGCAAGAGCAATGACTGAATTTTCTGATTTCACAGAAGATCTGGGTTTGTTGGACCCTCACTTAATAGGGGCAGTTTTACTTGGAGGAAAGGAGATAGACATGACATTGTAGCCAGTGCCATTCCAGATAGCGGTGTCACCTATAAAAATGAGAAACAATAAATAAAATAATGTAACACCATAAAAAAAAGAACAAAATATAAACAAAAGATAATTTACGCACACTATTATACCTCTTCTAAACAAAAAAATTAAAAATATTATACCATGTTCTCCATGAGTTCTCTTTTTTCAAAATCAGAATAACGCTCTCCATGAGTTAACTTTAAAAAAAAAAATGTATTCAAAATATAGAGAACCAAAAATACATCAAATAACGCCAGAAAGATTTGAACCCCCTACCTAGGGAGTGAAATTGAAGAGCCAAACCAACTAAGCTGCGAGAACCTTAGTGTCATGTAGTGGCACTTTTTAAAGATATATGTTTCCTTTTGCCTTTAATTATATATACATATTTAGTAAATTTTTCCAGTGAAACGTGACACCCCTCGAGCCTTAGTAATCTGCCTCTGCAGGAACATCAAACAATCAGTACTACGTACACTTCTGGCACACCTAATAGTCCAAAGTAGGAACTAAGAACCTGTAGAGTCTTATTTCAAAACTGAAAACTGGTGGTTTCATACTGAGGGATTTATGGAGAGAATCAAAGAAAAGTGGAACTCCATGACATGTGAAGGAAGATGAAATTTCATCCTAGCTTTTAAGTTGAGAGCTCTAAAGACAAACTGAGAGAATGGAACAAAACCTCACAAGGAAATCTACCAATACAAATTGATACATACTCAACAAACTTGCAGAATTAGAAGAAACTCAAGACTAGAGGTCTCTTAGCGAAGAAGAGATTCATTCAAAAGTTGCATTATTAGTATAGTTTGAGAATATTGAAGAATATGAGGAGATGGTCTGGAGGCAAATATCAAGGGTTACCTGGCTGAAGAGAGGGGATGATAACACTAAGTTCTTCCTCAAAACTGCTAATTCACACAGAATACACAATAATATTGATGATCTAAATGTGGAAGGAGAAGCTGTCAAGAATCGTGAAGGTATAAAAAGGAAGTGGTTGAATTCTATCAGAGATTGTATTCAAAAACTGAACCATGGAAACCATCTGGTGGATGTAGGAAAGGTCACATAATCTTTCAGGAAGAATACCTAATGTTACCGGGGGACTTTAAAAACCAGGAGATATGGAGTTGTGCAAAATTATGTGTTGGAGATGAAGCTTGTGGCCCTGATGGTTATACCATGGACTTTTATGTTCATTGCTGGGAGGTAGTAGGGGAGGATGTGATTGCTAGTGGGTTTTTTAGAAAAGTTTCAGTGCTATCTATGTGGCTTTGATTCCAAAAAAGGTGGGGCCAGGGTGTTGACAGATTTTTGGTCCATCAGCCTAATTGGTAATATGTAAAAAATTATCTCCAATGTGTTGATTGAAAGATTTAAAAAGGTAATGTACAAATTGGAGGACACCCCGCGACTGGCTTTCATCAAAGGAAGACAGATAATGGATGTCATTCTCATGGAAAATGAGTGTGTTGACTCCAGAATCAGGAGCAGCGTACCAAGTATTCTTTGCAAATTGGGCATACAAAGCGCATACAATCACCCTAATTGGAATTTCCTATTAGAGATCCCATCTAAAAAAATGTTTTGGTGGCAGATGGATAAGGTGGATGAGTTTTGCATAAGCACTGTGGAATTCTCTATTCTCATCAATGGATTCCCTATTGGGTTCTTATCATCACATAGAGATCTTGTCTCCTTTCTTGTTTATCATTGCAATAGAAGGCTTAGATGATATGCTGAAAACTGCTCAAGAAAAACTCTGGATTAAGGGCTTCAACGTATCAAATAGAGTTGGGGCTGATATAGAGATTACACACCTTCAGTATGCCGATAATACGCTGGTCTTTTGTGATGACAATAGAGAACAACTTAAGATACTCAGGGTGATCTTTGTTCTCTTTGAAGCAATCTCTGGGTTACACATTAACTGGAATAAAAGCTTCCTACATTGGCTCAATTTGCTTTGATTTGCTTGAGCCGAAGGTCTTTCAGAAACAACCTCTCTACCTAGGAGAGACAGTGGTAAGGTCTGCATACACTCTACGCTACTCAGACCCCACTTTGTGGGATTTCACTGAATCCGGTTAATGAGGCTACTGATATAACTTCATTGGCCAAGATTCTTGTGGGGAGGGTTGGTGAACACCAGTTGTATACTTGGGCATGCTCCTGCCCCCCTGGGAGCATAAAGCTGATCCATAGGTATATGGAATGGGATGGGAGAGAAAATGTGAAAGAAGACTAGTGAATTGGAAGATCCATTACCTTTCATTAGGGGGAAGATTAGCTCTCATTAATAGTGTTTTGGATGTCATGTATACTTTCATGATGTCCCTCTTTCCTCTACTTGATGGTGTTATTGAGAGCCTTGATGTTTTGAGAAGGAATTTTCTCTGGCAAGGCAAGAGTGACTCTAAAAAAATCCACCTGGTCATATGGGATGCACTAATAGAACAGGCACGGGATCTGGGAATAAGGAACTTAAAAAACCATAATCAATGCCTCATGATGAAATGACTTTGGAGACTTGCATCTGATGAGCAGACTTTATGGAAAGAGGTGATCAAGTTAAAGTATGAAATGAATGGTAATTGGACAACCAGAATGGCACAAACACCTATGGAGAGCTCCTGAATGTCTGGGAGATCTAGAGATTAGTAGATTTCTTCAAAATTTCTAGACAACTCAAAGGGTCATCTGTGTTAGAAGAGTGTCTTGTATGGCATATCACAGGCAAGGCAGATTCAATGTAAAGGAGGCTTATAAGAAATTCGATATTTTCAACAATCGAATTGATTGTCAGCCATGGAAACTAATGTGGAAACAAAAAATCCCTTATAAAGTTTCATGTTTTACTTGGCTACTTGCTAAACAAGGGGTGTTGACTCTGGAAAATCTCATGAAAAGGGGATTCCATTTGTGTTCAAGATGTTTTCTATGTGGAGAGGAGGCAGAGTTAGTCGCCTCTTTTTTCACTGTAGGATTACTAGCCAATTATGGAGAACCATCATCAATATGAAAGGATTGAATTGGGTGATGCCAACTTGCCAAGGATAATTATATAGACTCTTAAAGTTTGGAGTAGCTATCATAACCTATATAGTCAAAATGAAAGATGGAAAACTATACCAACATGCATTTGGTGGTCCATGTGGAAAGAAAGAAATCTTAGATGCTTTGAAAACAGGTGCAACACTACTCAGAAGATGAAGATGAATTGCATAGTTTTGTTTCATTTTTGGTGTAAACAAGAGTATATGAAAGGTTTAGAATAAGTTATGGATGTCCTAGGAAATAAATATTTTTTTCTTATAGGGTTGAAGCTCTTCCTATACTCTCTTACCATCCTCAACAAGGATGAGGATTTGCAAAAAATATTGAAGTGAAAAAGTCAAATTGATCAAACCATTTCCTCTTTTGCATTTCCTCTATTTGGTAGTGCAGGGAATCTCATGTGGTCTTGTAGAAGTTTGAGGGTTAATATATTCCAATTAAGTAAACCTAAGGATGCATAGACGCACTAGTGAGGAGGTGCGAGAGGTTGATTCTAGAGGGTACGAGGAGAGGCAGAGGTAGGCCAAAGAAGTATTGGGGAGAGGTGATAAGACATGATATGACACAACCTGAGGTTATCGAGGATATGATCCTAGATAGGAGGGTGTGGAGGACACGTATTAGGGTATAAGGTTAGAAGGTAGTGTAGTGTTGTCTTGCTTAGGGTGGCTAGGGTTTGCGATGGTACTAGTTGTATTATTGTAGTTCTTGTTTCTTTATTTTTATCATTGTTGATTATTTGTTTATGGTGTTTCAATTATCACTTGATTTTATTGTTTTGGCTCCTCTTTGGTAGACTTTTGCACTGTTTCCTTGTCATTTGCTATATTCTTTTCTTTTCATTATCTCCTTCTTTATACTGGGATTTGTTGCACTTGAGCCGAGGGTCTTTCGGAAATAGTCTCTCTACCTCCATGAGGTAATGATAAGGTCTGCATACATTCTACCCTCTCTAGACCTCACTTGTGGGATTTCACCGGGTATGTTGCTGTTGTTGTAAACCTAGGGATGTTATTATTTTCTCTCCAAAAAATTAAAAAGATATAAAAATAACTTCTTTGATTCTTTAAATACTCAACAGGGTCCAACACATACACTAAAATCGCATGAATTGATCTTTGTTAAATTGATTTTGCAACTACATAACTTCTTTCAAATACTTGTCCCTATTTTAATGTGTTTTGAGGTCTGTGGTTATACTAGGTCCTGGCCTTTGCACGAAGGGCTAGAGAAAGTTCGACACATGAGCAGGTAGTTCTCAATGAAAAAATGCAAGAGTATAAGAAGGAAGTTGATCAAGAAAGCAGGCGGTCATTAAACAGTCCTCACAATTCTTCAACTGCTGAAATCACACAACATTCTTCCAGAAGTTCCCAGAAAGTGATAGAGGCAGTAATGCAGTCTGCTGCAGAAGGAAAGGTACATGCTTTGAGGCTTCACCCCTATTAGCAAATACTCCCTTCGTCCCAATTTATATGAGGTAGTTTGACTTGACACGAAATTTAAGAAATAAAGACGAACTTTTGAAACTTGTGGTCTAAAATAAGTCATAGATATATGTGTGGCTATAAATCATCTCATTAAAGGTAAAACATGCATTTTAAAGTTAAATTGTTACTAAATATAGAAATGTGTCATTCATTTTGGGACCGACTAAAAAGGAAAGTGAGTCATATTAATTGGGACAGAGGGAGTACCATTCTGTGCTGTTTTTGAGATTCTTGTTATTTCTTCCAAGAGCTCTTCTGATTACTATTTCTACAGCTAAGATTTCAATAGTGTAGGTAGAAACTATAAAGCAAGGGTATCTCTCAAAGCGTTCCTCCAATTTAAGAGGTGACTGGAAGAGAAGATTCTTTGTTCTGGATAGCAGAGGAATGTTGTACTATTATCGAACGCTAAGGAGCAGGTCCTCTGTAAGTTATTAAATAAAATGTTTATTGGTATACTACATAAATGTGCCCTTTAACTTGACCTCGGCTATCATCTATGCCCTCCAACTTTGCGTGTGCATAAGTAGACACTTAAAGCTGTATAAAGTTGAACGAGTAGGATGCAAATTGCCACATAGGATGAATGTGTCTACTTGTTCAACTTTAAGTTCCTACTTGTGCACACCCAAAGTTAGAAGGACATAAATATCAGCCGAATCCAAGTTAAATGACACATTTTTGTATTATGCCATGTTTATTTGGCAAGTTCTTCTGGTCACTATTTATGCTTGCTCAAATGTGGATGATGCAGTTTCAGGGATCTTCCAATCCACTCTCTTCACATTATCATGGAGGTGTACATGATGAAAAACCTGTTGCACGTCGCACAGTGAACCTACTGACATCAACAATAAAAGCGGATGCAGAGCAATCGGATTTGAGATTCTGCTTCAGAATAATTTCACCAACAAAGAGTTATACTTTGCAGGTGAACTAAGCAAGAGCTGTATTGAGAGAACTTGTTTTCAACATAATATGTCGTCAACAGTTCTCAGTAAAGTTTTATCTTTTGGCATTTAGGCAGAGAGCACAGCAGAACAACTGGTGTGGATAGAAAAAATAACAGGAGTTATTACCTCACTACTGAGTTCCCAGATACCTGAAAGGGTAAAATATTAACATTGATATTGTTACTCCAGTTCCAATTTTGTTGTTTCCTAATGATACTGGTTCATGTTGTCAGCATTTCTCTATGAGTCACTCTACCAAAAGTAGGTCCATAGGAAGTCCCATGAGTCAGGATCAAAGAACAATTGAAGAGTGCTCATCTGGGAGGGATTTCATTGCTAAGAGTTCCATACGCCAATCCAAAAGTGCATCACACCTCCCGAGCATGAAAGTAGAGAAACCAACTGATGCACTGAAGAGGATACCTGGGAATGATAAATGTGCTGATTGTGGTGCTCCTGATCCAGACTGGGCTTCTTTGAATCTTGGTATTCTTATATGCATTGAATGTTCTGGCATTCACCGTAAATTTGGTGTACATATATCAAAGGCAAGTCAACTTTCTTCCTTGTACAACTAAGCTTCTTACTTTTGTAGTATAATCCTACTTTTAATTTTTCTCTACTTTGTCTTATGTTTGAGGCAGGAAGCCTTGCTAAACTTCTCCCTAGTGAGAGTACCCGCCTTCATGTTAAACCCCACATGCTTCCTGACATGCATTATCAGATTATGTGTTTGTGTAGTGTTTCTATTCAATAATTGTTGATTGATTGATTAGCAATTTCCTAACTTAATTATAGGAGTAGATTGGTATTGTAATTATAAGTATTGATTGTGTTATATTGCCTTTCCTCCTTGTCAAGAAGTATTGTATTTTCTTATTTAGTTCAAAGACTCATTGTATAAGTACTCATTCTATTGGGATGTAAATTCATCAAGAAATATATAGAAGCTTTTTCTTCTTCTTGAAATCTTCATATATCATAGCCGTTGCTGCCTTTTTGAGCTGACTTATCTCCCTTTGCAACTCTAGGGTCCTGTTCATATCAAAGAGATCAAATTTTTTCTCCCTCCTCGTGGTTGTTCCGTTACTCAGAGACCCTTTTAGTCAGTTTTCTGAAATAACAACTCTGCCACAAGCTTCCTCTACCTCGGACGACTAAACCCCAGTCAGCAGCTCCATTAAAGACCTCGTCATGCGCCTCCCATGCCGCCGGAAGTTCTAGCTCCAGCCACATGTTAGGAACTCCTTTTGCTACTTAAATTTTTGAAGTACCTAGACAGGCTAAAGGTTAGGTGAGAGTGGGATATGATTGTTAAGATACTATAGTTTATACAATTATATTCAATCTCATTATGTTTCAACTTATGGAAGGGGTTGTCCACTTGATCATTCCTAGGTTAATGGTCATTGTTCTACTGTTTCCTAGTTTAACATATTTGAGATTTTTTCTATATATTGTTTCTTTCTCTATTCTCCAAAACTTTATAGGTTTCCAAGGAATAATGTTCCGACCAGTTACCCTTAGCTTCATAAAAAGTCCAGATCTACATGGCCTTTAATTTTAATATAAATGGTGATTATTGGAAAGATTGAGACAGGTAATTGAAAGTGGAAAAAAAGAAAGAGCTTAGTCATATTCTGTAAATTTTGGAGTATCTAAAGGAAAAAACCTAAAGTAAGTTGGATTGCAAAGTCCTTTATCCATTCCCCTTTTCTAGTTTGGATGGACTATACTTACACAGTTACACTGCTTCATTATGCACTGGACTTGCTCAGAACATTGCTTTTTTGTATGAATACACAAAAGTTGAAGTGTTTCTTACAGCTCCACTGCAACTTTGTATTTAGGTAAGATCCTTGGCACTTGATGTTAAAGTGTGGGAGCCTTCTGTCATAATCTTATTCCAAGCACTTGGTAATGTGTTCGTGAATTCTATTTGGGAGGGTTTGCTGCATCCAAGAAGAAATTTTCAGGCAGATGAAATACCGATGCGGTAACTTTGAAAAATTCATTACAATGTGAATTATTTTCGTTATTGTTCTTTATTGAAAAGTGTCAACTGATTGGTCTAGGTTTTTGGAGTCCCATAAACACAAGCAGTTTTCTTGCAAACCGAGTGAGGATGATCATATTTCAGTGAAGGAGAAGTTCATCCATGGAAAGGTACCACTAAAAATAGCTAACATGTTCTGTAAGCCGCTTCTCTGTCTTAAAGGAATAGCTTCACATCTTATATAATACTTCTGTTCCATGGCAATATTTCTTTCTTGTCCGTTCCAGAAAGAATGACATCTTTCTAGATTCGGAAACATTAACCTTAACTTCTCATTTATCTCTAACAACAAGCTTTTATAGCCACAAATGTTGTGGAATGCTCACGACAAGTTCCAAAGTCTTATAGCCACATAAATGTTACGGAATGTTCTTTACCACTAGTCTCAAAAGTGTTCATTTCTTTGTTGAATTCTGTGTTATTCAAACTTTGCCTCTTATATTAAAATGGAAGAAGTATTTGTTTAAACTTTAGTTGATATTTTAGTTTATCCCTCCAGTTCAGTCATTTGATTAGCCGTTAATGTCACCAGATCGGTGGATATCGCACATTATGCTCCTCCTGCTGACTCACTAATTATGTAGGCATTCTATCAATACTTATTCTCTCCCACTTCTACATCATACCGTAACTCATGAGCCTTCTGCTGTACGGCTGCCGCACCTGATCAGTGAACTGGCACTGCACATTCTGCCCATGTGAGCAACCGTGCATAGATCTTAAAATCCATGTGCTGTGATGGGTTTGTGGCCTGCTTGACGAACATCAGCGACGGTGACATCGTGAGTTGATCCGTAGGTATCGTGATAAGTCATGTGTCCTAGGGAAGTAGTGAAAGATAAGTAGAAGGGACAGGGCATGAGCATCCTCACTGATGCTATTTAGTTATTCGGGATTAGGATTCCCATTAGAGAAGATGGGAATTGAGTTATGATTGATGAAAGTCTGGTACGTATTAAGTTGTAATCATAGGTTGTTTCTCCACAGTCTGAAATCCATGTTTCGCCCTTCCAAGCTTAGCTTGGGTGTTGAATCTCTATCCTTTGTCTAACTGGATTTGTTGATACTTCGCTGTCGTGTTGACTATGAGTCTGTCTATACGCAATTAGAAAAAAGATGATAGTGTGATACATAAATATAGTAAATGGACAGAAATTTTAAAACTTCAAACTTTTTAAAGTTTTTTAAAGTTGGCAATGACTAGTTTTTCAAAGAAAATTTTATTAATTCCAAAATATTTAAGCACTAATATATTATTAAAAAAAGAAGAAGATGATAGTGTGATACAAGTAAGTAAGACAATTCTTAAAATCTAGGCTATAAGGCCTTTAAGTTTATTAGATTGAACTGTCAAATTTCACAGTAGTACAATTGTTTTGTGTTGGTTAGTTCTTCCATAACTAGGGTAAACAAGTAGAGGCTCAACGTGATTCTTGGGTGTAAACCTACTATTATGGGAAACACTTTTGTATCACCTATTATTGTTTTCTCGCGAGTGATGGATCCTTCATACCTGTCCTTTATGACATTTATATATTTAATATGAATTCCTTTTTCCTCCATCATCCACCAAGAACTTTTTGTGGTACTCTATCATATGCTTTCTTCATGTCAATAAACATAATGGGTAGATATTTCATTCTTTGGCGATTTAGATTTTCATAAATCTTTGCAAGAATATATAGCCTTATTATAGATCTACCGGGCATAAATGCTAACTCATTCTCTTTTACTTTATCATGTTTCTAGTCTATGCTCTATCACTCTTTCCCAGAGTTCCATCGTATGACTCATGAGTTTAATGTCATGATAATTTAAACAACTTCAATATCTTCTTATAAATCGGAATTGGGGTTACTCTTCCTCCACTCATCGGGCATCCTACTACTTCTTAGTATAGCATTGAGTAGCTTGGTGAGTCATTCTACTTGACCTCTTCAAGACACTTCCAAACCTATATAGGATACTATCTGGACCACAAGCTTTTCTCATCCTCATATCTTTCATGGCATCTTTTACCACTGTCGGCGTAATTTTATGAGTCTGCTAAAGTTTCTATTGTTCACAGATGTGTGGGGGTCCAAAATGCTATTCTCTTGGTTCAAGTTGAACAATTGATCAAAATATTCTCTCCGCCTCTCCTTGATTTCATCATCTTCTGTCAATACTTAATGAGAATCATCTTTAGTATACTTCACCTGGTTTAACTCCTTACCGTTCTTCTTTGCTTGCTAAGTCTTCTTATGGCTGCAGTATGCAGAAAAAAAATTTGTTCACAAAGTGGAAGACAGTAGGCATCTGCTTTCTGTGGCACAACAGTTGTGGGAAGGTGTGCGTAAAAATGACAAGAAAACTGTATACCGTCTCATTGTTGTTTATCAAGCAGATGTTAATGCAGTTCACGGGCAAGCATCACTTGGTACGTCTTTATCTAGTGAATTATTGAGATTGCATTGGCATGCAAACCCTGATTATCACTTTGGTTTCTTAGGCAGTGATTGTGCGAACTCTTTGAACCCACGAAGTGGAAGTGCAGACCTTTCCTCTGATGGATTTTTTGATGGTTGTTCCCTGCTTCACCTAGCCTGCCAAACTGCTGATATTGGCATGGTGGAGCTGCTTCTGCAGCATGGCGCTAACATAAATGCTTGTGATTTGCGTGGTCAGATCCCACTGCATCATAGTTTCTTAAGAGGAAGAACTGAAATTGCCAAACTATTACTTTCAAGGTAATGGTTTGATTCTAAGAACAGTGCTAGTTCCTTAGTTTCTTAATTGTATCCAGTCCGGTAATATAATTCTCTCAGTAAGGCTGATGCCCGGCATGTGCATTTGGATAAAAGTTTCTAAGGAGCTTCACAATATAGGTTAACATGTCCTGTATATTTATATAGTTTAAACCATTGGGAGGTCCACAGTTATTGTGCTTACATTCAGATCTAGCAGAGGAAGAGGTGCTTTTACTGGGTAATGCCACATATCTTATTGGTCGTAGTAAACTAGTAATTATTGGCAACATGCAGTTGTGTGTGAGAGAGACATATAAAGCCACATTTGCAAATTGATGCTAAATAATAGAATAGCAGAAGATAATAAAATAACTACAGAAATTGAAGCCAAGTAGTAATTGAAATTTAAATACAAGCATATTAAAGGGAATCCTATAAAGCAGTATGGGTAGATTCTGCACTTTTAATTGGTTTTAGGACAGAGAACTAGTTAGATCAAAGCTGTATCAGTGCATGATCATCAATCTCCAGCTGAATTTCCATGCACAACAATGACGTCCATGCTTTTCAGAATCAGAGGGAAATTATTGACTTTCTATAAAGGTGTTTAATGCTTAACATTCATATATCTCAAAGGAGTTTGGAATTATTGAATGTTCCTTAGATCAATCACTCAACTGTAATGATTCCAGCCCCACGTGGGAAAGACTTTATAAACAAGCAAACAAACAGCAACTGCGCCTCAATCCTAACTAATTGGGGTCGGCTATATGAGTCCTCTTCCTACCCCATTTGCACATGTTTCATTCCACTATTCAATATATGTATATGATTAGACTAATTAAGTTAGGCTTCTCTATGTGTATCCTTACACTGTCATATATCTCTAAGCCAACTTAAAAGACTCGTGTGGAATACCAGGTTAATGTAAGTGTGTCAATAAGGATTGACCTTGATCCATATTGGTTGACATCACCTATATATGATACTTGCTTCCATTGTAATCTTCTCTTGCTAAATCTGCATTGATCTCGAGAAATTATGTCTTTTGAGACAAATTTCATCCTCCTGATATTAGATCTACCTTAGTTTCTTTTAACACCTTCAATCATTATGGTGTTCCACCTCCATACTAATGCATTTGGAGGTCTACTAAGAATATGACCTGACAATCTTAATGGCTACCTTCTTTCATTTTTTCATCTACATTTCTTACCTTGCACCTTCTGTTGTATGTGACCATTTCTAATCTTGTCTAAACTTGTAGACCATGCATCCATGTTAACATCTGTATAACACTGATGGTCTCAGAACTATTCTATAGAATTTGCCTTTCACTGTGTAAAACCAAAGAACTGTTTATTGATGTTAATGTTTTGTTATATTTAGTTTTACAAAGGATAAACTTAAAGGTTTGTGTTCAGTGTAGTACAAGATGAGGAACTTAAACCTATCCTCCATGAATTATAGAGTATATTTAACAGTTTTACCACGCACAAATTTTCATACCAAGCTAGAATATAACAAATCTGCTCTCAAATTTCAAAACTGCTCCAATGAATCTGATTAAGGCCCAAGAAATGGTAGTTGAATACTGTTTTACTTCATCAGATAGCAGAACAGGAGCCGACTTAACAGACAAGCTCTATCCCTTGACTTGGCTAGAGGATTATGCTCTTTGTAAAGATGAATGACATTCGAGTTGTATATCTTGAATCAAAACATTCTACTGATTGGTACTCCTGCACTCTTTCAACTTTTCGTGGCCTCAGATTTAGAGGAGAATTGACGTTTTGAAATGATAACATAGTTAGTTCTTATATTAATCAATGAAGTAATGTTGAAGATTAGTAATGCCACTGAAATTGAGAAGAGACAATTTTAATCATTTTCATAATGCTGCTGAAATTGAGAGCTTACTTTTGTAATAAGTTGTATAACTTCTGTCTATGTTGTTTAACCAATATGATTTCTTGCAAATAGGGGGGCCGATCCACAAGCTGTTGATAAGGAAGGCAAGACTCCTTTCCACCTTGTCCAGGAATCAGCTCTCGATGATGTGGAGATCATTGCCCTGCTGAAAGTTGCAATAGGATAGCACCACAACAAAGATCAAACTGAGGTAGACAACTTAATATTGCATCCCAGTAAGAATATTTTATCTTCAAGAATGAAGTTTGGAGTTATACGGAAGTGCTAGAGCTTGTTCAATCCTTAGCTTCATTCTGCCAGCAGAAATTCTGATAAGGCTTTTGAAATGAAAGATCCAGAGAAGTGGTGCTTTTTCTCCGCGGATCTCAGAGGTTAGGAATTATATATCAAGTACAACATGGCTTCATGCATGTCATTTCTACGAAATGCTACTTCTGTTGTGTTTTTCATTATTAATTCTTTTTCCCCTTTGGTTTATTTTGTCATCCAAGTTGTGCAGATGTTGAAGTAGGCAGTGGAGCAGTTGTACATGTATTTTGAATTGACTGTGAAACAGAATAAGCTAAGTAGAACTATATTTAGGTGGGAAATTGGCTCAGTGATGAAGCTGAAGAAATTGTTGAGACATGATGAATGAGGCTATTTATTATGGTTTCATTTTAGAGTAGTATGAAAGAATGTTTATCACCAGTAGGCAATATATATAGCTTTCTTGTATTGAAAAGTATTTGTATTGCAATAAGAATTGTAAATAACTAAATATAAACTACTATTCTCTAAATTTTAATTTTACGTGACAACATTTTTTTAATTAAAAAAAACAGATAAAAAAGGGTAGCTTTCTAAATATAGAAACAATTTGATTTGATTCCGTTCATATTAATTTTACCTCTTAATGATAGTTTTTTATAGCCCCAGATTAAAAAGTATTGTGACATGTATAACACTGTAAGTTGCAAAAGTCTTATAGCCATTAAACATTTGAAGGAGTCGCAGTCCTACGAAATACTAACAATTAGTTGTCTGAATAATAACTAAGGGGTGTATTAAGGGGAATTATTCGGGTTCACATAAATTCATGTTTTTTGGTACGCTCAAATTGTATTTTCGTTGTTCAAATATAGAACCTTGTAAGGTTAGAGTTGAATCTCAAATACAATATGGTGTGAATATTACTCTTAGTTGTAAGAATAAATGGTCTTTATTTTGTAAAACAATTGTGGAAAATAAAATTTAAAAGAATTTATTTCTTCTCTATCTCTTGAAGGTTGCTTTCGAGATTTAATGAAGGTTAATTTTGATTACATTGTTCGAGAGATAAAACCTCAAGAAATTTAAATGAATTCTCTTGTGAAAAGGGCATTCATTAATTTGAGGACTACCATTTTAGGTCATAATGTTGATCTAGTTGCTTTTATGAAATTCTAGTTAAGTCCCTATGTGTAAAACGGTCAACTTTCTTAAGTATAACTAGAGTCCTTCTAGTCCATCTAGAAGATATCACTTTAAGTACTCGCGACACTTGGGTGTTACTTTAATAATTGTTATTAAGTTTGAATTAGATTATCACAGTCAAGACTCAAATCATTAGTGTTTGTAACAAATTTTAAAGTAACAGAAAAATAAATTGCAATCACTAATAAAATATGAAGAAACCTAATTTTATTGATAAATATTGCAGGTATAATTCTGTTCCTCCCTTGATTTTTCTCTCATAAGATTATCCATGATTCGAGGGACGTTAGTGGCGTATTTCCCGAACTAGGATGATTTAGATGTGACCTCTTTATGAATATTTCATGAATTTGCGAAATATTCAAGATTTTGATCTCTTTACGGAATATTTGAGATGCCTTTTCAAGGGAATATAGTACCCTTTTATATAGGCGTGAGTTGAGTAGCCTCCTGGAATTCTAATTGGAATTGAACACACCTCCTCAACTCAGAGTCCCACAAAATTTCAATATCTACAATTAGATTGAACACGAGTCTCAAATCCTTGTGCTTAGTTCTTTTTTTCTAATCTTAACTTGTTTTTCAAGCAAGTAAAGAATAAAGCTTGATTCTAATGCAAGAATTCATTAAAATTCATACAAAACAAAATAACTAATCATACACTAAAAATTACCGTCTAGAATTTCTATCTACACAACTATTTCATTGTTACTTCCCTTTTAGGGCTCCACAACCCTAGCTATAGAGTTAGTTATCCATAGAAAGTGCAGAAACTGAATTGTAAATAAAAGAAGACATGCTTACGATGAGTGAGAGGAAGAATCAAGAACTAAAAGATCAACTTTAATAATCAACAATGGTCTCAATTCCAAAACATATTGTTTTTGCACAAAAGGCTCCAGGACTTCAACGAAAAAAATAGAAAACTCAATGTTCTGAAACTCCTAAAATTAGGTATTCATAATTACTAAAAATATCAAATAAAAATAGGCTTTGTGCATGCGTTGCGGGGTCGCATTCTATGTTGCAGTCGCAATAGCATCGCCACATCGAATATCATGATGATTTTTTTCGACAAATTTGCGATGGTGAAATGCGGCCCCACATCAAGAGTTGCGGCTGCATCACTACCATCGCATAGCTGAATTTTGCAGCAATCATTCTACCTGTGGTTGTTGTCTATGAATTGGTGATTTGGCGCCGCATGTGGGAATGCAATCACATTACTTTCTCCTAATCAACATCAATTTTTGAAAACGATCTCTTTGTTTATTTCCAGCTCCTTTTTACTTTGTTTCACCTCATACATCTATAAATGATCAAAACTTGTCTTTTAGGGCTAAAATGTCATAACTGCCACCATTCTCTATTTGAAAATGTACAATAATCTAAGCTTACAGACAAGATAAATAGGTAGATCACCCACTTATCTCTCCCCCCAACGATATCATAAAGTACTTAAATATAGATGCATGAACCAATGCTTGAAGTATTATAAAATGTGATGATAATTGGGTGCACCTTTCTAAGTGATGTTAGAAATTTTAATCTTATATCTGCCTTATTTTTTTCTTTCTAAAATTGGATAGCACCTTCTAAATGGTATATATATACATATTGCTTTAATCTTTCAAAAATTTTAAGTCACATTGAAAATTTATAGCATTATAATAAAGTCAAACACATATGTAGACCCTTAAACTTGTCCCTAAATTTCATTTTGGCACTCTAAAACGTTGTTCCATTTTAACCCTTCAACTCCAATTTTTATGTTCCATTTTGACACTTCTAAGTGATGTGACAGAGTGTGTGCATCACACTTTCTCTTAAGAGAGTGAAAGACAAAAAAATATTTTTTTAAAAATAATAAAAGATTACCCTTCAACTCTATTTTTTTTATGTACCATTTAACACAAAATCAATTTTATGATTTCTTTATTTCTATATATGTTATTTAACTGCTATTTTGCATTTTAAAAATTGACGTTCATCTGTTAGTTATTGTAAAAAATTAAAATTGACGGATAATCATTGATTTTTTTTAAAAAGTAACAATTTCTTTTTAAGATTTTCCCTATATTTTTGCGTGAAAAATAACCGACGAAAATGCGTTGATTTTCTTTCTTAAGAAAATCAATGACAACCTAGCGGAGTCTATCGAGTTTCAACATTTTTTTTGTAGTGTTATTAATTAGCAATGAACATGAGTTTTTTTACTCGTATGTAGTTGAATGAAAAATTAGAAAGTTGATATTTGAGTTAGTCCAAATAAATTAGATATGAAAAAAAATGTGGTGTTATTTAATTTAATTAATTGTTTAAAAAAAAACTAACACATTTTCGTCGATTATTTTTTCACACAATAATGTACAGAAACTCCAAAAAAAATATTTAAAAAAAAATGATGTTCATCCATTGTTATTATTTTTTTTTTTAAAAAAGCTATGACATTGATTTTTAAAATTAAAAAGTAGAAATGAAAAACATAAATAAAAATAAAGAAATCATAAATTTAGTATTTTGTGTTTAAATGATACTATAAAAATTAGAGTTGAAGGATTACAATGGAACAAGGCTAAGTTATGTGAGTTGTGTATGTGTTTTTAATTGGTTTTTGTACCATGTCATGGCATGTGAAGTACACACATCCCACTTTGTTGATTCTTTGGAAAGAAGTGCCAAAATGGAGCATAAAAATTGGAGTTGAATGATTAAAATGGAACAAGGTTGAGTTGAAGTGTCAAAATAAAATTTAGGGCAAGTTTAAGGATCTGCATATGTGTTTGGTCATTGGTTTTTGTGTCATGTCATGGCATGCGAAGTACACACATCCCACTTTGTTGATTGGCCAAAGACATATACAGCCCTTTTAACTTGTCCACATTTTTCATTTTGACACTTTATCTTAGCTTTGTTCCATTTTAACACGAAATACTATTTTTATGATTTATTTATTTTTATATATATTCTTCAATTGCAACTTCTTATTTTAAATAGACATGTGTCATTTAATTTTAGTTAAAAAATTTAAAATTAACAAAAAATAATTCTTTTTAAAAAATAATAATTTCTTTTTAAGAGTGTTATGTATTTTTGTGTGAAAATAACTGACGAAATTGTGTTTGTTTTCTTTCTTTAAAATCACCGACAACCTAACAAAGTTAGTCGAGTTTTAACATTGTTTAGTACTGCTATTAGAAATGAACAAGAGTTTTTTTTTAGTAGTGTTATTAACAAAGTCAGTCGAGTCTTTTTGAAGATGTAGTTTTTTTATTCGTATTGATTTATATTAAAAATTAAAAGTGAGTATTTGCGTTAAATTTAGATAGCCTAGATGATAAGAAAAAATAAATAAGTAGTGTTATTTAATTTAATTGAATGTTTAAGAAAGAAAATCAAAGAACTTTCGTCAATTTTATTTTCATGCAAAAATACAGAGAAATATCAAAAAATAATATTATTGTTTGAAATTTTTTATGTTCGTTCGCGAATGTTTAATTTTTTTAATTAACAGGCACACATCTATTTTTAAAAAATAAGAAATTGCAATTGAAGAACATAAATAAAAATAAATCATAAAAATTAGTATAAGTGTTTAAATGGTACAGAAAAAATGGAATTTAAGGGTTAAAATGGAACAAGGCTAAGTTGGAGTGCCAAAATGAAAAATAAGGGCAAGTTTGAGGGGCTGTATATGTGTTTGGCCTTGTTGATTCTTTGAAAAGAAGTGTCAAAATGGAACATAAAAATTGAAGTTAAAGGATTAAAATGGAACAAGATTGAGTTGAAGTGTCAAAATGAAATTTAGGGACAAGTTTAAGGGTTTGCATGTGTTTGACTTTATAATTATTTATGAAACTAAATCAAATGTGCATATTAAAACTAGTAGTACTAAATGATATATCATACAATCAGTTGATTCAATTGATCTAGTACTTTCAACATAGAGGATACAATCAGTTAATTCAACTGAAATACACGTCTTATGTTCCCCTTATTTCCAATATCCCTTTCTATTTCTAAAAATCTCTAAAATTTCTTATTTCTTTAATGTATCTGAGCTACATATTAATGTATTCGAGCCAGTATTTAATGTATTTGAGCTACATATTATGTATCCAGTTTATTTTATAATGTATCCGAGCTACATATTATGTATTCGAACTAGTTTTTAATGTATCCGATCTACATATTATGCATTTGGTTTATGTTATAATGTATCCGAGATACTCTTTAATGTATCCGGTCTACATATTATGTATCTGGTTT